AGGGACAAAGAGGAAAAATTAAATAAGGAATCAAAACATAAACTGGCTTATTCTGGAAGAGTGAAGACAATTTGCCTGCAGAAAAATACTGCATTGTGGATAGGAACAGGAGGAGGGCATATCTTGCTGCTTGATTTATCAACACGTCGTCCTGTACGAGTTATAGACAACTTTTGTGACTCTGTTAGAGTCATGATAACAGCTCAGCTAGGTAAGTAAAACTATCAAATGACGACTGCTTTGGGATCAGTGCCAGGTTTAGGATTGCTGTCTCCTGTTTGGCATGCTGTTCCAGGAACAGATTAGCATTTTCCACATTTTGTTCATTCATTCTATTCCACTCCTGTCATCTTCAGTCAATGACAGACACTCCAGTGTTAGCTGAACACCAGGAGGCTGTCATACCTGTGCCCACGTCAAACAACAACTCTTCCCTGGCTTGTCACGGATCAGCGCGTGAACACAGCCCACCTTCACTGCGTCCTTGTGCCATGCGTCAGCACAGCCCTCACTGTCTTCTGTCCGATAGACTTCGTCTAGATCTGTGTCTGCCTGTGTTCTTTCTCCATCTTAAGTTTTACGCTTCTGGCTTCTCTCTCTGTGGAGCTTGTTAGGTTTTAATAATTTTTCCTTCGTTGCTTATTGCCTGGTTTTCTTCTCCCATCCATATTCAGGAATGGTTCTTTTAGGTTTGGGTCACAAGCAGATCACAGCAAAGCTGGGAAAGCACTACACACTTGGACTCAGGGTGCAGACTTGTACATATGTGCTGTTCCTGTCACCAGGGCCAGTTGTTTCAAGCTGCTGCAGGCAGACAGTAGTTGTGGGTCTTCGGGGGTAATTACAAGCAGCCAGGGAAGTGTAGTTAGTTGAGTATGAGGCATTTCTTGGCTGTTGTAACTTCCTTCACCTGTACACATTCCTGCATCTCTCCCAAAAGTAATAAAGGCCATACCAGCTCGAGAGTTCATTGTACCGCAGTGGTGGTTATGCTTAAAATACACATTCCTTGTGGCACAACTTCTGGATTCCCATTTCCTTCCACTGTATTTTGAAAAAAACTCTGGAGTTCCCTTGTCAGTGTGATTTAAAGTGTGTTTGCTGTCAAAAAAAGACTGAAGCTGTTGTTGCGTACTCAGAAACGCACTGTAATCCTGCTACCAAACATCACAGTTGCAGGCAGTGGATGTTTTCCCATTACCACCAGGAACTTAATTTGAGGGCTGTTTTTTTCTTTCTGGCACCAGAAGTATCCATAGACTACAGTTATAGTGCTTATAGTGCTGACGGTGTTGTACGAGTCAAAATACTCCATCTTCCTCTGATTTGCCTTTGCCTGAGACAGCAGGTTTGTAGAGTCTGTGCAGTCCTCAGCTGTTCAGAGTGCCAGCTATAGTGTCCAGATTCACTAGCTCAGCATTTTCAGTCCTTCTAGTCTTGATAGCTACAATATTAGTACTGTAAAGGGATTATTTTTTTTTAGCATTTCATAAAGAATGCTTACTATGAAAACAAAATTTCTGCCTCTACTTATTATTGTCATTGATAGGGAAAGTATATTGTATATAATAATACAGTGTGGTTTAAAAAGCCTTGAGTCTCCTATTCTTTGTCTCTAGTCACCTCAACATTTTTAATCAAAATTTTATATATAGAAAAGTTAATACTTCAGGAGAGAGGGTTTAGCTATGTTTGCACAAATCTCAGGAATGGCAGGTAAGATTGATACGCGCGGTTTGATGTGTACCTTTTTCTTTCCATCATTTTTTCCCAGCAATTATTTATAAGGGTTGGGTTTTTTCCTAAATTCAAAGACTTTTCTTTTACTGGGATTTTCACAGAATCAGTGAAAATGGCACTGAGGTTACTGAGCAATTCTTCAATAGCAACGCGTTGCTTGTGTGAAATGGGAGAAGATAGAGGGAAATATTTTTGTATTAAAGTTTCCTTTAAGATTAAAATACATGTCAATCAGAAGTAAATATTTCAGGGAAAAGAGATTGCCAGACTTTGAGACATCAATTTTATCAAGTTCATCTATGAATATGGAAATGTAAGGTCTTTTTCTAATTCTGTCATCTAACCCATTGACATATAATAGACATGAGACTTACAGAGAATGATTTGTATGTAAATCTGTAGTTCATTTTGCAAGTGAAAATTTAGACTTCTCTATAGTAAGAAAGGACCCTAGTCTGGATAAGAAAGTTCCAATCACTTTTGTAAGGAGTATAGATGGGACTGGTTGGAGAAAAAATTGAAGTGATGGAAAATCTTGAGCATGGAAGATGTGTACGATTCCCACCAGCCCTGATCTACCATAAGCAGATTTACGTCACTATCAAAGGAGAATATACTGCAGATCTCCACAGGGCAGGAAAAATATCTCTCTGCCTTGCAGAGGTCCTGAGGGACACACTAGAAACGTTTGCTGATTCAGAAGGAACGTGTTGTGAGGGGGGGACACTGACGTGTGGTCGCACAAAACTTCCAAGACTGTGGCTTTCACAGTAATCCATACTCCAGTCTATTTATACCCCAGAAACTGACCCCCTCCTCATCTTCTCCCTGGGGGACTGTGTAAGACTTCATGTATGAAGAGGTGTGGGGAGGTGTGGGGTGCAGTGCTGCAGCTGGAGCATCTGAACACGGAGAACTGGTCCTTCCCTGGTACGCAGGCTGGGACCTGTATTTCTCTACTAGAGTTCAGCCAAGGGCTCACTGCCGTCCTTGTGCTGCCCGCAGGAGAGGGAGTTGCTGTGGCAGGAGAACACCTAACAGCTTCCATCTGTCTTGCAGGACATCTCTAAACATGTGTTGTTGGGAATAAGCGAGAAGATACTGGAACACCAGCACATTCAACTTAGCCCTCTGTGATCCAACCACTCCTGTCTTCCTAGTCTGTTTTTTGCGTTATTCAGCAGGCACCTTCCTATGATCCATCCCCTACTTCTACATCCCTGCTAGCACCCCTTTCCTACCTACGTGCCATCATTAGTTCACAACACAATTAATTTGTATCATGTTTGGTTGGTTTGTTTTTTTCATAACCAAACTGATTACTGGCACTTTGTTTCTGCTGTGCACTGGGACTTCATTTGCAGCCTATCCCTTCGCTGTGACATCTCTTTCCTCTGTGACTTTACTACCTCTGCTTGTGGCAAATAATGGGGTGCTTTGTTCTTGGCCTTGTTCGACAGGCTGGCCGGCTAATGCAGTGCTTATGCCTTTGAACCCTGATAAACCCCTACGTTAAATGGAGACGTGAGCTATATTGTTTCCGTGTCTGGGTTTTTCATGGTTAATGATTTTGAATAAAGGGTCCAGTTGACTGAATTCTGCTTTCTGTCCTCTTAGTGGTATGATGTCATCTATTCTTTCTGTCCTTAAAGTACAAAGTTTCCATTAACATTTGACGTTTTATTTCTTTGAAAAAGGGACTCTCAAGAATGCAGTCCTGGTTTTGGGATATTGTTATAAAGGTGACACCGAAGACAACAAATATCACAAAGGTACCTGAACTGTGTTTTATTAATTTGTATTACTGGTGGAGTAGACACTATTATGCTTGACTGCCCACTGAGAGTGGAGAGTTGATGATCATCATTTAATATAATTTTATTGAAACACCATTATTAGGTTTTGTTGTCTTTTGCATTTCTGGGCTCCATATAAACTAACAGTAACTTCCAAAAATGCATTGGAGGGAGGTACTACTTGAAATATGCAGTATAATTTGCTGGAAAATCGTATTTGGAGAGTAAATGTCATTGTCTAATTGGAGAATGTATCAAATGGATTTCCAGAGGGGTCTGTGCTAGGCCAGGAATCCTCAATGTTTTCATGAATGATGTGGATGAAGGAATAGTGAATGTGCTTTTCAGATTTGCAGACAAGTCTTGTCTAAGACAAAGCCACAAGCACACTGGAGGGCAGGATTAGAATTCAAAATGACCTCGGCAAATAGAACGAATGGTCCGGAAGGAAATAGAATACAATTCAATAAGGACAAATGCAAGATCTTTTACTTAATTAGGAGTGATCTGTTGTACCAACATGAGGAAATGATCAGCTTAAAGAGCAGTGCTGCAGAAAAAGGGTTATAATTGATCGTGGGCTGAACACGAGTCAGCCATGTCACGTTGCCGCAGAAGAGGTGAACACCATTCTCACACCAATCGAGAAGTGGTGTCTGTAAGACATGAGCTAATTCTTGCGCTCTGCTGAGTGCTGATATGGCCTCTGCTGGAGCAGCATATCCATGTGGGATATTGCTGAATGATCTGGACTATTGGGAATAGTCCAGAGGAGAAAAATGCAACCTGTGATGAAATGCTGCAGCAATTTAAGTTGGTTAATATAAATAAAGCTTAGAGAGGACATGATAATAAGCGTCAAATATGTAAATAAAGAGGAAGGGAATAAAGACTTCTACACATTCCCTGTGAGCAGGATAAGGACTAACCAGCTTCTGCTGCAGCAAGGGAGATTTAGGTCAGACCACAGGAAAAGCTTCCTGACAATTAGGATAGCGAAGTGCTGGAATAGGAAGATAGAAAATCTCCGTATTTGTTTTTTTTCTAAGAACAGTTACAGTTGCTGCTGTGATCAATGCCCTTCTTCGCCTTTATCTCATTGCTGTTTCAGTGACTCCTAAAAATGTGGCAATGCCAGTATAAAGTTAAGGGTGGCAAGTGTAGATGAGCTGACCGTTTGGAGTAAAATAAGAATCAAACTTACAGCAGTAGTTTTTATATTCTGATATTCCCTGATTATTACCATAAGAACACCTATTGTCTTTTTAGCCTTTTTATTGTATTTAAGAGTGCCACTAATTATACAGAGAGGAATCAGAGACTCCCAGAAACCTTGGGGCCTTAGTTTGAGCCCCTGCTCATGCAAGTATTCTCAATTATCCTTACGCCGCTAAAAGCAATGTGACTTAGCAATAAAGCTTAGCTAAAGCTAAAGCAATAAAGAGTTGTTTGCATGAAGGGAGATTGAAGAAATGACCTTTTCCCAGTATACTCACTACCTTATGAAATCTGTATACATTTTTAGTTTACAGTGAAGTTTTGAGTCTTGTAAGCATTTAGGGTATATCTGCTCAGGAAAATAGAGATGAAATTTTATGTAGGCTCCTCAGTACTAAGCATTAGCTGTAGCTCAGACCTTATGGCCCACAGGCACCAGGAATGGTTTTTCAAGTGCTTTTAAATGGTATACTCTTAAGTTTAGGAACTGGAATCCAAATCATTGAGCAAGTACAAACAGGTCATAACCCATAACTGCATTACCTCACACAAAAAGTGTCACATACCTTGTCTTCCAGGTCCTAAGCATCATGCTTCATTAGGGCAATTTACGAGTAATTAAAAAATGAGCAGATAAGCAAAACCACTTCTAATTATGCAATAATTCTTCCCTCCTGTGGTTTTCAATGTTTATTTTTTTTCTTTCAGAATTACAATCCTGTGTGTCAGTGTGGGACATTAACCTGCCCCATGAAGTACAAAACCTGAAAAAACATGTAGAAATGAGACAGGAACTAGCAGAAAAAATGAAGAGCATTTCTTTGGACTGAAAAGTCACCCTGCAAGTGCCATTCCCTTTTCTAGTCTTCCATCCTAACATACTGTGCAATATTTACAACTCCTTGTTGCTGAGGTTTTTAACTGAAAACTGGGAAGAAAACTGCCACGAGAGAAGCAGTTGGTATCCACAGGATACCAAGAAAAAAAAGAAGGATAAGTTATTTGTAATATTTGAAAGGACAGAAGATTATTGAAACTTTCTGAATCTAAAGTGTTATCATGCGTCTGTTTACTTGTGAAGTTCTGCTCTCAGCAACTATGGTTCAACGTCAGTATAAAATTGTTCATCTGGTTTTTGATCCCAGTTAAATTGGGAGTAAGCCAGGATACTGTAAATAGTTCCTATTTACTTCATTATCTCTACTGAGTTGACACTGTAGTAAGAAGCAAAATGTAAGCCTCTATGTGTTTATTGCAGTTTGCATGTATGAGTTTGCTCTGATGATTCATGGTTTAGTAAGAAGTCAGAGCTCATGACCCTGAGTATATGAAAGAAAACATTGTATTTTATATAATAATAGCAGTGTTTAAAGGAATATCTAATGACTACATTACTCCTTGAAAACAACAGGCAGAATAGTCTTTATTTCTTCCACAAATAATTGGCTTTTGTTATGATCAGAAAAAAACATTGTGCTACAATAATAAAACAGCTCAGAATTCAGAATTTAAATATACCGACAGACTTCTGCAAGTCGCTGTCCTCTTGCAGTTCTGCAGTCTGCCTTGTTCTAGGAGATGCAGTCACAACTTTATGAACATTACCGTTCACATACATCTCTTGTACAGTTCACTTTTTGAAAAGCCAAGAGAGAGGGTGAAAGCTCTGATCTAAATGCTGCTACAACTTGTACCACAAAGAAAGAAGCGTGCTGCTGTAGCCAGACCGCTAGTTCGTAGTCCAGCTTGCTGGTTTGCTTATCTCAATCTAAAAAAAAAAAAAAAAGGAACTTTCACTTTGATATTGATAACATACAAAGTTTCCACTTATTCTTGTTTTGGTTTATATTGAAATTTTGGGGATAAGCAGGGAAACCTTGAGGAATACAAGAATTGGCTACTTCTTGCGTGTAACTACCAGAATTTGTTGCCACACGTCTTCATTCAAGTGATGCCTTTTACTGCTCTCTGGCTATAAGTCCAAGCTGCTTCTTACAGCCTGCGCTGACATGCTCCAAGTGTGTGCCTTATTTCTGTCCGTCAGAAGACAGATGTCATTTTCTTTTTTTTGATACCAAAAAAATCTATAGGGTGCTCCTGAAATCTCCAGGAGTGGAGTGTCCAGAGCCATTCTTGAGTTTATTTCTATGGAGCTGAACAGGGTTGAGAAACCAAGAAGTTCTCAGTTCCATTTTTACAGTTTTGGAGAAATCATATAGTAGGACAGCAGCATTTATTGTGTCCAACTCTATCATTGTTCTGTTTTCTGCCATTTGTTGAGTGTGTACTCAGGATTCCTTTCAGATATGCACCCCGGTTTTTATGTATTCTTGTATTCTGCATACTGAGAATAATTTGCTATTTATATGGGATTTTATAACTCAGAAAATATATATTATCTTATAATGAATACTTTTTTAAAAAATAGAATATATGTATTGTGATTATGTTTATTTATAAGTCATTTAAGCCTTAAATCTTTTTATTAAAGCTGTGCTTTGTTAATAACATAGTCTACTGTCTCATCGCTGGATTTCCAAGGAGGAGCTTTTGTGTGTGGTTTTTGTGGAGCTGAATCCCTTACATCAGGATGATGCAAGATCCCAGTTCTGTGGGTTGTGTTGACAGAGCTGTATTCCCACTTGTTCTCTGTTTCATAGTGCACATCTGGAGCCCTTCTCTTTCCCCCAGTTTGTCTTCTACTTCCTGTTCATTGGAGCCTTTCCCAGAGATGAGAGGTGACCTGTAAGCAGTGCTGTCCTTGCAGCCCTTAGTCACCTCTAGCTGGCGGTGCCCCAAGGGTCAGTGCTTGGGCTGGTCTTGTTCAACATACTCATCAATGACCTGGATGAGGGGACAGGGGGTGCCCTCAGCAAATTCGCTGATGATACTAAGCTGGGAGGAGTGGCCGACACACCAGAAGGCGGCACTGCCATTCAGCGAGACCTGACAGGCTGGAGAGCTGGGCGGAGAGGAACC